GTGATTCTGACAGTTAAGCGTTCACTGCGAGATCTGGAGTTTCTAGCTTCTATCTTTCGTAGAGTCGTATGTAAAAACTGTTGAGGTGTCTCATACTAGGACGAAATGATTATCCAGTGAACCCTGGTTTTTACTCGTGCCTCAACGGAGATGATGAATTCCATTCACAAATTAAAAGAGATTGTTTCTTGATTACACATTGATTTTCTACGGTTCTTCAGTTAACATTTGGTTTGTAACAATGATATTAATAAATTAGAACCATTACATAAACGAAGTTAGTCGATGGGTTAGTAGCTAAACCAATTAGCCTTCAACCATTGAAAAAAAAGTTCGAATCCCATTCTGTCTAGTCTGGTTTGACCAGCTTGGTAGTATCACTAAACCTCAAACCGAAAAATTGTTGTTATTTACTATGTTGCCTAACATGAATGTTTATCTCCGATGCAAGTTGTCACACATATCACTAAAAGAAGTGACGGAGGGAGCAGTACGGCAATAGAAGAGGTAAGCTAGATAAATAATGATTTTCACAATTCACACCATTTAGCTGTTTTGTGTTGCGTTGTTTACTGGCTGAAAGAAAGCTAGTAGTGGCCATATCAAGACATGTCCCCAGTCCATGAAGTCATTGACCATTGTATTGAGCTTTGTTGTTAGTTACAGACTATCTGATTGGGGTTCATACAATCAATGGTCACAGACTTTAAGTGACGTAGCTCAAAATCATCCACAATGGCAGAAACACATTCACTCTTTTTCTTTCTTTAAATTTTGTCTTAAAATTATCTTATGCTTTTTGTTCCTCAAGTTCATTCTCTCTTTGCTTAATGTTTCCTACTATCCTCAGATACTGTCACTAGTTTCACTAATCTTGATAATTTTATGTCGATATGCTATTATGTTATCGCAAATTGAACCAGGTTCTATGTTACTTATAACCGACTAACTGATACTATTTAATTTGACTTTTTGAAATACTAAATAGTTTAACATTAATATAGATGCTTCTGTATGATTAATTACAGTTGTGTAGAATAGAAAAAAGAATATGACTTTGGGGAAAAATAATCACAAATAACTATTTTTCATTTTGAAAATTCTTTCACAATTCACAATATTATTGATTTACTGTCTACATTACATTATTATGTTTAGATTGTTTTAGTCATATGATTTATTTCCCGGTTTGTCAAATATATTTTGACATTGAAATCAAAATATTTCTGTGTTAAAATTTAAGACACTAATCCATATCACGTGGTAAATTCACTAATCACACTTTAATTTTGATATTTTTCTGTTTTGTGTTTACCATTCCGTCTATATTCAAGAGTGATAGATTTCGCTAGTGATACATTCTAACCTCTACAGCTAACGATTATTTAGTGCAAGCTACTCTTTACAAAATTTAGAAATGTTTTGCATAAAAAAATATAGTCTTTGAGCGACGTTAAAGTGACCCTTGAGAGTGTCTACCTAATAACTAGGACCAAATGAGGGTTATAAACCAGTGTGAGGAATTTGAATTAGGATTTATAGTTGATGGTTAGGGTTAGGAATCAGATTTAGGGTTTTCATCACGAACTGACATCAGCTGTAATGCTAAAACTCTATTTAGCCAAATGGATGGATGCATTTCGCGCCAAAATCCGTGACCTGTTATCTTAAACCTTATTGGTTCCTCCATAAATTATAGTCTCGTCGTTACATTATTCCAGCATATTGTCATTGTGATTTCGTTGTCCTATTGAATAATTTCGAAATCGTAAACAAAACTCACATCGTTGGTCATGTGACTCACTATTTTGTATAACTAAATATTTTATTTTTACGTCAAGTTTGGAACGTTATCAAATAATAGAAAATTAGTGGATAATGCACCCATTAAAATTTTACATCACCAATCCATTGTCTTCGAATTATGATAAGTACATAGTGTGGGAAAATCTTTTAGTTTTGAAATTTATCCAAGATATATGTCATTATAAAAAGTAAAGATTTTATAATCTATCGGTTCATACTTTTTATGTTGACTAACATGCTCTTGAAATCTAGAAATTAAGACATCAGTGTATTCACTGTTGCACGTAATTATTGGAGGACACGAACAATTATATCAATTTTTTGTGCTATTGCGATGTATGCTACTTATACTGAAAGATATAAACAGTATGTAGTACCAGTCGGAAGTGGAATTCCTGGAAGCAGAAGGTTGAAATGAAGAGAACAAGAAGGAAATCAGAGCGATCTAAGGAACAAATGCTCTGTTAGCCGCGAGTGGGGAGAGTCAGCTCTCCTCGAAATGCTCTCAAATGGCCACGTGCATAAAACGACTACCAGGAAAGTCCCACTCAATGACTTCTCGTGGAGGGGTTGTTGTTTACAAAACTGAGAGGACGAAAAGTGAATGTCCGGCTTTTTAACCGGGTTGTTAGATTTCGAGGATCCATTTAGGGAAGTAGGGAAACCCTGATTCCAAATCAATGGTGTACATTGGCTCCAGGATCCTGCGGGAACAAATGGCGTATGAGCCTGATGTTGGTCACCGGCTACCATGGGACTGCATGTCCTAACGTTGCTCCACTGCCTTGTGGACTAGACTTTTAGGTCAAAGATTCTAAGTGTAGCCTCCTACGAAAACCACCTGCTTCGGTTTGGGCGCTAGCGCAGTAATTCAGCCCTCACACAAGTCGAATGATTTATGTGGCGCATATCTATTTGGTGCCTTTTTGCACCAATGTTTGTGTTTAAATAAATAAGTAAAGACTTTAATATTATCATTTTTGTCTGATGGGAAAATATAAACAACATATGGGTGTATGACCTGGTAAAAATGAGGAATTAACAATGAAACATGAAAATAACATTGAATATACAGTTATATACAATACAATAAACTATGTTAAACTATATTTATGGTTGTTATTTCATTATTCTTTAAATGATTAAATTGAAAAGAGAAAGAACACATGCATAAACAGGTGTCATTACCAAGGTTTGATTTGATAATTTCGAATAAATTGAGCATTGGGTTGATTGTTATAAATAAAAATAATATATTTGTAATATCCCAATGAGTAGAAAATTGGATTTTTTGACGTTTCGTGACTTAGTGTAAGTCACTTCTTCAGAGAACAAATAACCAAATTTGGTCAAAAAATCCAATTTTCTACTCATTGGGATATTACAAATATATTATTTTTATTTACATGCACAAACAGTTAACTAAAATGAAAATCAGAAGGTAACATGTAAAATTTGTGAGAAAATAATGATCAATTGAGACAATATCACATTTGGATAAAAGGTGTAGAACAAGAAAGATTAACTGGGAATTTTATGATTGATTACGTCATAAATACTTTCTGTGTTTAGACGCTTTTGTTCTCCTTCACTCTTCCACATTTCAAAATTGAACTTCTCATCTCGATAGTGGAAAGTATTGTAATGATTGTGTTATGTCATTAGTTAACTGAATTGTTTTCCAAACATAAACAAAACTTATACTCTCTTTATAAGATTAATGTGAATGGGAAAAGTGTTTAAATTATGGGAAGAAATAAAGTATGTGTGTGTGTGTGCGTGACTTCATTCAAGTTCTACAGTGTTTATTAATTCACATTAATCTTTATTTTCACATAAACAAATTTGGTAAGAGTACACATACACATAATCGGATTTTTTGTCTGAGAAATATTTAGCTGAAGAATAGATCAAATGAATGTGATCATCATTTTTCTTTGAAAAACTGTTAGTGATTCGTTTACATGAAAATAAATATATTGCATGGTTTAAATCATGAAAGGATCTTAGCCAAAATCAGGACTGGAAAACTGAAAGGACTGAATGACTGTTTTGCCATAGTATGGGACTTCTCAGTAGATTAATTGATGATTTAAACTATGAAAATTCTACAATCTCTACGAATTTCCTCTATACTACTACTAATAATAATTATCTACTCACAAGTGACAAGCTTCAGAATAGAATTGCCGGAGTTCTAGTGAGAAGCTGTGGCTAGTGGAGTTCTATCATGTAGTGTGTAAGAAGGTTGTGGAAAATCTTGAGTTGATTGAAGTTTGACATGTACGCCATTAGGTGTCTAATCAGTAGTCCATTTTCGCCAAATAACATTTATACTTAGCCATAATCTTTACATCATGATATTAGCTAATTTGCTTTTCTTTGCTTACTATTATCTTGATCAACTCCCATGATTGATTAGCTTAGATATCTTATTAGTGTAGGGTTACTTCGTTATTATTTTTGGAAGTCCAGACCATGATTCGAGAGTGACAAGTGACAGCTTTTACTGATAAATAACATTTTTAAAATCACGTTTTTTGAACTGTTGGTAATTTTTAAACGTTTAGAAATTTACGTTACACTTGAAAATTCACCATATTTTCCTCATTTAAATGATAGTTTGGTCACAGATTCGAATCTCATCGTACAGTCAAACGATTAACCCTCATATAACTGGTCTGCGACTCCGAACCATAGTACATGAATCTAAACTGAGCTACGTTAAATTACATTATTTCTTTAGCCTTACTTGCGAATGGAAATAACAAAGAGTTGTTGAAAACATTGGTATACTCAATTAACGTTCCGTCGCGCTGTGAGATTCTTTAACAAAGTAGATTCGTAACCTTTTCACTGATGTAAACCAGAATTCTCAAGTCCCTCGTCGAGCATGTCATCCTCATTCTCAGTCGGGATCGATCGGTTTACATTTTTAATTTCAGTCAGTCAATGTTAGAATTAATTGTTATGCGACTTAATTTTGGATGGTTGAAATCAATATTGAACTTAAATACCCAACTTATGTGCATATTTATCATAATTGTAACTTCATCTAAATCTGAGATGGCCATTATTTATTGAAATTTGCAGTCATTATCGTTTTAAATACTCTTCAACTATACTATAATAATAAAAATAAATTATGAATACGTAAAACGATGCTGTATTTATTTGCTTTTTATTATTTATAGGTTGATGAACTCTTAGAAAACTATGAAGAAAATACCATGTATGAGGTTGGTAAACTATTGGCTAATAAACTAAATATACCATTAACTGAAAATAACAGCTTGCCGTCTTGGTTTCCTCGTGTATCATCAAGACAGTTACGCAGTTCAGCTGGTGATGATCTGGTACCGAATATAGAAGTGCCTAGTGAGCAGTCTAATAATGTACCAGACGTTCAGCAAAACCGTGATAATAACATTACTAACAATGGGGATGGCAGAGATCCACTAAGTTCTGTTCGTTGCCCATTGAGTACTGTTTCTACTGGTAATAGGGGTGTCGTCGGTGGCAGTGGTAGCGTTTCTCCAGAATTATGGGATGATGAAATATTCGATGATGCAATATTGAGTCATGCTGCTCAATCTATGGAGAAACAGTTAGATTGTAATAGAAGCGGTAAGCCTATTTTTAAGTCTACAGTTTTTTGTAATAGTTAATTTTGTGGAGATTGTCAAATATAGAGTTTATTATCACAGACTGACTTTAATTAGACAGACATTAGAAACCAGTAAGCGCCAGACAGGTTTTCGGTCTTAGTATGAGACTTTTCAGCAGTGGATATTCACAACCACATCAAGTATTGAATCTAGGAAATTTAGGTCTTGTGGGAATCACTTAACCTTCAGATTCGAAGGGGTTGTAGATAGGCAATTCTGAATAGAGTCCCATACTAAGGCGATTTTTTGAGCGATAACAGTTATCTCCTAACAATAGTTCAGTTCATTGAATTCGTCCTACAACTGATAGTCTTTAGTGCGGAGCACAATGCACGCCGATATCTGATATATAAGGGAAGTACTAAGTTCAAACAAGTTCTTATTATTGCCATATGGGGCTTGTGGGAGGTTTCAGAATTTTCATAGTTTAAATCACGAACTGATTTAATCCAAACAATCATTAAAAACTATGAAGTACTTCACAACTTTCAACCTAGTATAACTCTTCATCAATACTCATCCACAACCACACCACAAGAGATTGAACCCAGGACCACTAGTCCCATGGACAGAATGATTATCCAATACTTTCTGGTTTTAATTGGTGGTCTAGCTAAGAACAGTTCGTGACTTGAACTATGAAAATTCTTATTATTTAACTTATAGAACGTTTGCGACTATTAGTAAATATTTCCCCTCTAATAATTCTTTTAAGTGACCTGAGATTATTATTTAATTCATTTCTTGAATTGATTTAAAACTATGTAATATCACATGAATCAATGAACCTCAAGGTAAAATAATTTTAAAGGTTTTGTCATTACTTTTTGCTTTCATTTCAACTTTACACTAAATACTACTTATAAGTAAGCATATTTTAACAAACCATCGCAAGTGCTTTCTCTTCAACACTTAGCCTTACTCAGAAAGTAATTTAAGGAGAAAACTTATGATCAATTATCATAGTTAAATAGATTCATCACGTCCAAATGACCGGCTCAGAAACTTTTTCTGTAGACACCCTAGGAATTTTGTTATAGTGTTGAATTTTTTAATATTACATATTTATGATCATACTGTCATAATGAGAATAGGACTACTCTGGAGGCTCTTTACAAATTCATTTTAGTCAATCAAAGATAAGGTTGGACCTAGCACAAATTTGAATTGGTCCGAGTTTATTTATTTATTTATTTCAACACATAGATAATGGTACAAAGAGGCACCAAATACATATGCGCCACACAAATCTCATCCGATATGTGTGAGGGCTGTGATACTGCCCGGGTGCCCAAACCGAAGCAGGTGGTTATCTTAGGGGGCCACACCCCGAGCCTTCAACCCAAAGGTCTGATCCACAAGGCAGTGAAGCATCGTAAGGAGATGCAGTCCCATGGAAGCCGGTGACCAACAATTGGTTCATTCGCCATTTGTTCCCGCAGGATACTGGAGCCCATGTGCACCATTGGTTTGGAATCCGGTTAAAGCGCCGGACATTCGCTTTTCGTCCTCTCATTTTCGTAAACAACACCCCCGCCACGAGAAGGCAGTGAGTAGGACTTCCCTGGCAGAGGCTATATACGCGTGGCCGTGTGAGAGTATTTCGAGAGGGAGAGCGGACTCTCCCCACTCTCGGCCGTACCAGGGCATTTGGGGGCCCGAGTTATTGTATCTCGTATGAGCACATTGAGATAGGGAGATAAGGTGAAAGGCCAAGTTGTACAATATACTTTTTGAAAACTGAACATGTAAAATCTAGTGTGAAATAAACGTATGAATTAGTAATTTAATGGGTTGACGGATTTAGACAACGAGTAAGGATAAATACATTTGGATGACTATGAAAAATTCCTGACCATGGGAATACTGAACTTTCAAATATAGCTCCCATCAACGGTCGATGACTTTATGGACTGACTCAACATCGTGGTTTAACTATACCCCAGTCATCTTCCAACTTGCTTTTGTATTTTAACTTAGTGATTAGTTTACTACAAATAACGAATATTAAATCAATATTTTTTATTATGATTGTTTCTAGGTGTATCAATTTCACGAAGTTCTGTCCATTCGTTCAATGATCCACTTCGTTTACCAGCAAGTGTTATATCTGATGAACGAGAGCGACTGTCAAATGAATCTAAATTTAATGGTCTTCAACGTACCCACAGTGTTGTTGATGAGAGCGAGAACAATGTTTCTATTGATAGCGATGATCCGTTTTTAGAAGATCAAGTCGATCCAGATATATTGGCTTCTGCTCTAGCTGAAATAGACGAACAACAGTCAATAAATTCTACAAATGAGATGCGAATTTTTCAATCCAATAAAAAAGTATCCGAAACAACTGCAAATTCGTCAACATTATCATCAACTTTAATGAAAAAAAGTTGTACAGTAAGTCAACCGATAAAATCACAAATTGAATCAAAACAAAGTTTGAAACAAACGTTATTAAAGCTACAATCACGCAGTCTATCAGTGAATAAACTGAATGATAATCCATCACTTCCTTCTTCTTCTTCTTCTAAACCGCAACCGACTGAACCATTCTCGCCAGAACCAGTAAAAACAGATATCAAAAAAGTACAAACTAACATCGACAACAATGAAGATCTTCTGCCACCGGTGCCCAAACGTAAAACATTGGAATTTAAACAAACAAACAGTACTATTGCAAGTAATAGTAAATCTAAAAATATACTACAGTTTGCATCTTCATCCAGCCATCAAGTTATTTCAACGACTACAGAAGATGATCATGATAAACACATGGTCAGTAGTAGACAACTGTCATCTAGTTCATTGGAAATTGATTATCACTTTCATCCATTTTGTTATATTCAAGTGAGTTTAGACTAATTTCACCCTTACATATTTCTGTCTTTTTTTCAAAATTGCAAGGCTGATTTGACTTGTGGTGAAGATTAATCTCATTTTAAATTATTCGAAACCACTGAGCACTGGATGACTGTTTTATCCTAATAAGGAATCCTTCAGCGTTAAAGCTGATTAATTGTTGCAAGTCATTTGTCTACTACTGGACTACGTACTCAATTCTGAATCATGTTCTTTGTGTTGGCTAATTCGACTACCTGACTAGTGAAACCAAAGTAGGTGAAGTATAGGGTAAAACTAGTTACCCACAAGTTGGAAGCTGGGTAGCCTAACCATTTAACCACCTCCAGATACAATTGCGTAACAAACTGTCTAAAATTTATATTTTACACTTTCATGAAGTGTTCAGTGGCCAATTGAAGCTATCGCGTACCTGGTAAAATCATTATTCAACTGTCATTTGTTAACACTGTTTCAAATTCGTATTATCTCAAATCAGTTACTTCAATCTTCAGAAAGCAATCTTCATCAGCTTTAGTGAGTAAACACAATAAGGTAAATAAGCTTGTGTTGCAAACAATCTCCAGTATTAATTTGTAAAGGTGACTTAACTCAAAAACATATTGAGCAGTCGGATAGTTTAGACTAATAATAAACTGAACAAAAAAATTATTGAAGTGATTTATTTTCCTTCTGATGTTGTTTGAAGAAAAAACAACAAGGTTGATGAAAATCAATTAGGTTATTAAAGTACTTGTCAAATGTCAAACCATATATATTCCTCGTTAACCATTTGACGGTGTCTTATACGAACAAATGTTCACTTAGTTTAAACAAAAATATTTAATTATTCCCTTAGTTTTAAGTGATGTAACTAATATTTTTAATACGAATAATGCTATATGATCATTCCTCTGGAGGAAACTTTCACTTCTTGTTAGCTGAGTCTCAAAGTATCCTTCGTCAAAAACCCTAGAGGCCCATAGTGGCCAGGAAACTTTTTACGTAATCAGCGTTGAATGGGATCTTCGCATATACATCTATAAACTGCGAAATCATGCAGCGCGCTTCTAATTGTTTGTTTACTTATACTGCCACTATATTTTGAGTGGCTCCAAAAACTTCCAGAAGCCCAAGGTCTTGTGTAGCTTTATGAGTATCCTTGTTTTTGCTCATATAATCTAACTTTGAAGTTGATAAGTCTTCTAAACTGGTCTGAAACTATATCAGCTTATCTCTTTGTTCTTATTTCATGGACCTACTGAGTTTCTATTGATCGAGATATGATTGATCTTGTTTCCTGTAGTGTGGTTTAGTGAAATCTATGTAGTTTTATGTATGGATTTGCGGAGGGAAATGTTCGCATCCATAACCATATTGTTGAAAATACACAGATTTACCAATCTCTCTCCATTCTAGTTCCTTTCTCTCAGTCCATGTTGCCCCATAGTTCGTTCATACTTAGCGCTGTCCATTTCGATTTTAGCGTATAGGTCCCCCATCAAGACGACCAGGTTTCGCCTTAGCCACTCATAAAACTGGTCTTTGTCCTTGCTGCTATCACTGTTAGGTGCGTAGCGCTGTACAACATTCATTGTATTCTCTTTAGTCTTAATCCTTTGATAATGTTACTCCCAAAGATTATCAATTATCTTCATGAATAACAGACTTGAAAGTCCCTGGTCTTATGGCTGATTTTTAGGTACTTACAGCCTTTAGAGCCTCGTGTGAAGACGCAACATCTGTATAGTGTTCGCTATATCTAAATTCCCATTTCAATGAAGTCAGTCTATCGAGTTAATCATCATCACATTGGAAAATCTGAACTAAATGTTTATTATGGATTCTGTGTTCTCATCTACCTATTTTCGCGCATCGCTTTATACTACTTGCTAATATTCAGTAATCAGTTCAAGTAATTTGTGATATCTCATATCCTAATGTACTTACATTAACTAATGATATTTACTGTATTCATTATTTTAATTACATCCTCTCAACCCTCGTAACTGTTATTCCCAGTTTTTTTTACATTCCTCGAATTTTCGTTTAAACTTGATAATTTATTTGTTTATGTGGTCTTAGTCCCGGTTCTGATTGTTGATAGTCATTATCGACTTTAGTCACAGCTACCGGCTGTCATTTACATCATCAAAGTATTTTTCTTTTCATACATACAGATGTGTTAACCGAAACCGATACTATACGAGTTGAGAATCGTTCCTTACATAAATCGTTGTTTTGAACCTTGATTTCACGCGTATCTTAGTTGTGTAGTTGAATGCTTCGATAGAATCAACATTTATTCACAACAAAACACAGGTTGGTGATACTATCTAGTTCCCCAAAAGCAACACATGAAGTTGGTTAGCCACCAAAAGTCGAACTTCCTCAGAAGTTCACTGCAATTTCGGAAAACGATATCTGAAAAATATTTCAAGATGGCTTTTTATCAGAATATTGTGAGTCCTAATATTGACTTATCTGAAGAAAGAAGTATGATGATGAACATAGTGTATCATCATGTAGGGGAAACATCATGAGGACGATGAATCCCAATTTAATGCACTGAGAGCATGTAATAGCATTTTCAATCGATTTCGAAGTGGATGAAATTAGAAAATGTTAGTAACTCAACTCAGTGTACAACCATATTGTAGATGCGCATATCTGATAAATCTCGTTTCAACGAAACATTTGTTCATTGTTTTCCCATTTTCATTTACTTTCCAGTTATTTTCAAAAGACATATTAACATTAAATATTCACAGATCGTTATAAGGTTAATTTTTTTTAAAATTAATAGACTTTTTTAAATAAAAACTTTCATTTGTATTATCGTTAATACTGATTAAGTTTCATCATAATCTTTTGTAGGATATATATGATAAACTACTTAAAACAAAAGATAGTAGTAATGGTTCAGCTTCCATAAATACTGTTTACACAATTCGTGGTTTACTTATTAGTCTATTGTCATCGTTGGAACATCATAATGGCACTAAATGGACACTAGCTGTGCGAATTACAGATGGTAGTGCAATTCTTGATCTAGATGTCGCTTCAGACTTACTAACTGAATGGATTGGTTTAACTCCTAGTGAAAGTGAATCATTAAGACGATTGAGTAAAATTGACTCGGATTCTTCGAATCCACTTGCAGTTCAAGAGGTGAGTGTTATTTTCTTTTCTCATCCGGTCTGGTGATTCGAAACGTTTTTTCCTTACTCGATAATGATATTTTGAAACGTTGCTGTGAGGGTATAATGAAAGATTCATTCATCATTTTATCTCCATGATTGTTATATTATTCTGCTACACTTGTTTTTGATGCTTTACTGAAAAATGATTATTTTTTCAAATTGCAAATTGGTCTTAGCTAGAGCATCATTGAAAGCAGGACGTTTTGGCTAGAGTTTCATTCCAGTATGGGTCCCCTCATTAGTGCACTTCTGTAACACTATGGTGGCTGGTACTATGTCAAGCCGACATTATTTATTTATTTTGAGCACATAAATATTGGTACAAGAGAGCGCCAATATATATGCGCCACACAAAACAATGAAAGTTCGAAGAGAGAAAAGAAAAAAAAACTAAGGAGCACAAAAGAAAAAGAGAACGATAACGAAGAGATTGGTGTAAGGTAGTGTGGTCGTAACGATGGAACGGAAAAGTACAATCAGAAGAAATCTTTCAAATAAGGGAGACACAACCACTTTTTATGAAGAAAGTAAAAGAAGGTTACAGCAGGATCGCCACTGGCTTCTATTCTGAGCCATATCTGATAACGTCTCTAGCCACTGTGTAGCACCATCTCTCAGACCCCAACCAGGGAGTCGTGAAGGACCGACAGAAGCCAGTCCTTTGCAGCTTTCTTTCATACCACGACACCATGTCATGCACTGACCACCTCTCCGCTTTTTCCAACCAGTCCCAGAGTCGGCAAATAATGCACGACGTGGAATTCTCTGGGACGACATTCGTAGAACATGTCCAAGCCACCGAAGTCGGTGTTTCAAGATGGTGACACCAATTGAATTATCATCTCTGTGCCCAAACACACGATGCCGAACCTCTGCATTACTGACATGGTGTTGCCACTGAATGTCAGCAATCCTTCGGAGACAGCGATGATCGAACACAGAGAGTCGTCTAACGTCCTCAACTCGGAGAGGCCAGGTTTCACAAGCATAGAGCCAAACTGCTCTCACCGACGCGTTGTAGATCCGACCTTTTACAGCCAGACTAACATCACGAAGGCGCCAAAGATGGCCCAGATTGGCATAAGCCGCTCTGGCTTTCACTATACGTGCATTGATCTCATCACTCACACCCCCACCAGCACTTATGCAGCTACACAGGTACACGAACTTCTCGACTACTTCTATCTGCTCACCATCCAGGGTGAGTACAGGATTGGAATCCTGCCAGTCTTGTAGAAGTACTTTGCACTTCGAAGGTGCAAAGCACATACCATACCTACGGACACTGATTGCCAACTGATTAAGTGCGGATTGCATGCCTTGGGCATTATCGCACGGTAAGACAATATCATCCGCATACTCAAGGTCGAGAAGTTTTTCTCCAGGCAACAGATCCACACCACCATTACTTACATTCATCAGAGCTGTTTCCAGAATGTCATCGATGGCAAAGTTGAAGAGGAATGGTGAGATTGGGCAACCCTGCCTAACCCCACTACTCGTATAGAACAATGGAGAGAGGTGGTTGTATGCCCTCACTCTGCCTGAGGTGTTTTTATATAGGGCTTTTAGGATGTTAATAAACTTCTCAGGCACACCCTTCTTCAATAGACAATCCCAGAGAACAGTCCTGTCCAACGAATCGAAGGCAGCCCTGATGTCAAGAAGCACTACGATTGTTGGCCTTTGATAAGTATGGCGATGTTCTAACATTTGGCGGAGGGTGAAGATATGATCAATACAACCTCGACCAGAACGAAACCCAGCCTGCTCCTCGCGAGTCAATCTTTCTCGGGTTTTGAACAACCTACGAAGTATGACGGAAGCCAATAGCTTGGACGCAATCGGAAGTAGACTTATCCCCCGATAGTTGTTGCAGGAACGACGTGAACCCTTTTTAAAGATAGGGACAACTATCGACTCATTCCATGACGTTGGTACACTCTCTAATTCCCAAACCTTTGTAAACAACGTCGCCAATTCCGACATAGGTTTTTCTAGCCTCTGGACAGACCAACCTATTCATTTTCCTCAAGCCATATTCTTGCCTTGTGACTTATTCGCTTATTAACCTTGACGGTTTTCATTTGAGTGTATGTGTGCTATTTAACTACCTTATTCATTATGTGTCTGTATTTTTGTTTGACTATAAATATCGAGTCAAGATTGATAAAATGGAGTTGGCTCACTCTCCTCCATTGTACGTCATTTCGGTTTCCTTCTCTTTCTCCTCTTCTCTGGGTTTCCCTGATTGTCTATCCGAACCAATGAGCGTACGAAATATATGTATTCAAACTTTATTCTCGTATTTGACTTATTTTAATTCCGTTATTCACTAACGCGAGTTAAGTAAAAGTTCTGTTCATCTCGGTATGATCTTCAATAAAGGACCTTATCTAATGACAATCCGTGAAGCACACTTCTAGAGTAAACAAGCTAATCTTCACAAATTTTTTAACAGAAATAAGTGTTATAAATAATAAATTCGGCTAAAAGCAAGATTCAGGAAGTATATGTCATCCTATTTATGAGTTATTAGCTTGATATATCTGCACTCTAGTCTTAATGCTCACATCAGGATTAGAATCATGTACCTTCGCCTCAAATGATAAAGCGTTACTCACTGAGCTACTGAGTTAAGGTTTTTATTGACTTTTTCAACACATGACTTGTATAAACAAGTCATGTGTATATATATATATATCGTTATTACTAAGAGTTTATACTATCCCGTCGTTGTACATTCAGCTGACGAGTCGCAAATAGGTTGATACATATTCCTAGGTTTCCACTGTTATCCATAATTCATCTATTCTAAACAATCCTTGTTTCAAATGACTATGTCAAGATAATCCGCATAGGATAACATACATCAAAATGAAAGAATGATCAGAATTCGTTCCCAAATATCAATAAAATGTTCATCTAAAACCTTACTACTATAGAAATTAATTTTTCATCTGTTACTCAATGATTATTTACAAATTCAATTAAATATTACTTATTTATTACATATATGTTCAAGTTCTTAGTCTCAGTCATCTGTTAATTTAAAAAGTAAATATCAGTTGTCTTTATTATAGGACAGTTTCAAAGCGACTCCTTAATAAGACAGGATTTGTATAATCTCTCATTAATGATTGAATTTGTTTTCATCTTGAAATCCATGTACATATTACTCACAGTGTTACAATTGTTTAAGATATTGTGAGACGTGAACTGTTATTACTTTTAATATTATTTGTAGTGGTAATGATAATAATTTGGTTAGTGCTTATTTAGCAAGGTTGTTTTCTACAAGATGGAGATACTAACCCCTCATGTCCAACTCTCTTCCTTTATTCCGGCTTGAAACTGGCAGTTACTCTAGAAGAGTTACAGGCAGAGTTAATAATCATAATAAAATATGTGTATATATTTCAAGACTTATTGAAAATTGAATATTCTCTGACTTCTGTGTATTTTAGAGATGAGAAAAACAGTGAAAAGAACAACTTCTTTTCATTTTATACATTTATCATTATCATTTTATCTTTAATATTAAACATAAAAACTATGTGAAAAGAGAAAAATTAACTTAACTAGCTAAATGTTATTTTCATTATTATTTTTAATTTTCTAATGATTGCGTGACCGAATTTTGTACCAGGAAGTAAATGTCAAATTTACTTAAATAAAGTGTTATTATATTCTTCTTCTCTTTTCCACTTTATCATTATCATGCTTTATATTTATTTAATTTGTTTATCTTGTCAATATATTTCTATACATATAATTTTATAGAAAAGTTTTTCATTGGTTACGATAATTTATTTTCTTGTTTGTTTGTGTTTTATATGTTGTTCTATTGTGTTATTGGTGGAGTTTTATTCTCTGAACTGGATGGTTTGGTCGTGAAGCTTTCATCGTTCTTCTGAACAACATCTCCACGGCTAAACCATCCAGCTCAGAGAACAAAACACCACCAAAATTATCCACCTGAGCTATAAATCTTCTCCACCATCTCTATTGTGTTAGTTATTCTCCTATTTTTATTATTATCATTATTATTAAATAATGATGTGAAAATAGTTCAAAATAATAATAGTAATACTGTTCATACTATTGATCTGTTTAAGTATTCTCATTTTATATATTTTTATCTTTTATTTTTACTATTAGGCACAAAAACATCGTCAACGTTTACGTACAGCATTAACAAATTTCCAAATATTTTTATCACATTTAGGCGGTTTATTCAATATTACAATTCAAACATGCAATGATAATGTTTTAAAATGTGAAAAGAATACAGCAAACAATACTAATACTACTACTGCTAATACTACTACTACTACTAATATTGATCAGTCATCTTTATCCTCATCGATACGTCCCATTTTAATAGGTTATAAAGAAATAGATCAATATTGGTTGAAAGAATTACAAAATAGAATTAATGTTCGTTATATAGAGAAAAGTTTATTGTAAAAGATGAAGAAAAAAAAAGAATAATACAAATGAATTTTCATGTTATTCTTAATTTTGTAAATAAATTAATTAATATATTTGTGTATAGTTTTATATGTATTACAGTTTATGTTTGAACAGTATTATTTTATTACATTCCAGTGGAAATATAAAATTATATGCAAATATTTACTATAACGATGACAAAACATACTGTCTCTTTTTGTGTTCTTATTGGTTTTTGTGGTAAATGATTGGTAATGATTATAATTGTGACAGTTTAATGGTGTTTTCATTGGTTGGAATTGTATCAAGTCGACTAGGTTTTTCTTAAAAGCGAATATTAATAATCTGTGGTATGGATTAGTAGTATCTTGATTCGAATTCTTCATTGGCAAGTGTTCTACTTAATCACTTGTAACCGACTTCTTAAATACTTCTCTAGACTCTATATCTACACTTAAAATCGTATAATAGGAAAACGGTGCGAATTATGAGTAAAACCATCCAGCTCAGAGAACAAAACTCCACGAAAATATGAGTAAAAGCTTCAATTCAAATTGAATCGGTATGCATAAAATCGGATTCACTTGTCGATTTTTCTAGTGACCTTGATCTTCTAGAAACTTCAGAATGTAGTATTAACGTAGGTAATTATTTAGCGTGATGTATAGTCGTTCATTTTTCTAGATGGCTCTGACGGGCTTCTTACAATGCCGACCTGACGAAATTTTTGTGACCCTTTCTAGACTTTGATTGACTTTATAGAGGGATATTTATGAAATTCCAACAACATGAATGTTATTTTGTTGTATATGTAAGTTATGAACATCTCTTTTTTACCGACTAGATGGATTAAGTAGAAGTCAATTTCTCTGTTTTCATCACCAAGATATATATATATATATATATATATATATATATATATATATATATATATATATATATATAAGAAGAAAACTCTAATTTGTTGTCAGATATACTTTATCATTCAGCGTCACTTATTACAGGTTTGCATCATGAAATCTGTTGATGAAGCCGCTTGTTGTTGGACGGAGCCTGTATTACAAGGCTCTGACCTCTTAATCGTGACTTGTTCAACCCAAGTTCGACTTCAACAGCAAAAAGAGTGTGTATTCATCCTTTATTATCTTCTAGATCTTGACCTTGGATAGTCATGAAGTTTAGTCTTGTTTATGCTGTAGTTTGTCTACTTTTGCTCTAGTTGTGTCATTTTATATGTTACTATACTTTTATTTTCTCGTTGTTTTTCAGTCCTTGTTAATATCCCTTGTTATCATCTTGAATACCTTATCGTTTTTAGTGAACTTCCTGATGAAAAGCAACGTGTTACTATAGTATCCTACTTTTAGAAGCTAAAAAATTGTACTTGTTATTCTCTATCTCTCTCTCTATTTATGTCCTGAATTCATTGATCATAAATGAACTCGGTCTGTATAACGCTGAATGTGTTCCAATGATAAATGTTGTCGGAAATTTGACTGTATCGAATAAAGGAGAAGAAAGCTACAACCATATAAATTTCATTTAGTATACCTATATCAATCGTTCTCATATGATTGATACTAGTCTGTAGTTAACGATTATTTATTATAATTTATTAATGTGTTTATAAGTAAAAATCATAACGTTTTTTGATAGGTATGAAGACATTGTTCTACTTATTATGCAGTCATATGATTTATGTCTAATTTCAATTAATGAGGTTTGTTATATTGAATAATAATGATACTAATTGTCTTATTGGTACATTGAAAAATTTATAAGATTAAGTCAGAGTTTTTAATTATGTCAAGGTTTTGTAATAACAATAGTAGTACTCGGCAAAACAATATGTTATCATATTTAAATTAAAAATTTGATGGATGAATTATGGATTACTTGAAGTTAAACATCAACACCGTTGAGTACTGGCTCAGTGGTCTAGAGTTTAAACGTTCTCACGCGAGACCGATAGGTCCTGAGTTCGAGCTTCGCAAGGCGGGATCATGGATGTGCACTGCTGAGGAGTCTCACAATAAGACGAAACAGTCATCCAATGCTTCTAGGTTCTACATGATAGTCTAGCTTGAATTGCCTCATGATCTCAACTATTAAAATGAATTATAGTTAATAAATGAACGATTGCTGCTACTTTGCTTATATTCATCAACAGGTTAATCATATTGTTTTGTTAAATACAAACAAATATATATATATATATATATATATATATATATATATATATATATATATATATATATATATTTGTATGTGCAAATCATTCATTTTTGAACAATATTTTTGTCATGTGTTCTTATTTCAATGAATTATTAAGGCTCTTAAATTGCGTAACACGAATTGGTAGTAGATTTTTGTATGCATATGTACCATTGGAGGTACTTTTTTTATAGATATAGTATGCATATGAAAATCTAGAAAAAAATTAAATGTTAGCTAAGAGATCAATAAGCAAACTGGATTTACTTTCAGTAATTCACCAACTGATATTCATCTACCATGAAAACTTCATTCGAAGTTAACCAATCGTTATAAAACACCCATTTAGAAGAAAATTTAAAATAAAATCTTACAATTTTATTTATTCTTAGAATTAAAAACGACATAGATTGTTCTTGTTGCTACCAGAAGTTTGCGGATAATTAGTTAATTTAGAGTTTTTATTACCATATGAATTTGTGAATGCACTATACTAACACGAACTAACTAACCTATTATAGTTTTCAATAATTGGTTGAGTAAAACCCGTTCTTTCTGTAAAAAAAATTTTCGCCTGTTCGTTTTGCCTATGATATAATCAAGTGGTATTGTAATGATCAAAAACTCAGGTGGGTAAACTAATTTATTGTTTAATGCAGAATTACACTATGGCTTATCAAAATATGGAAATCATACATTAAATACGTAAATTGCATATTTTCCTTCAGTTTTTCTCTATATACTTCACTATTCTTCCGATCCTGTTCTAATTCCGATCGCTATCTGTTTCCTTTCCTTTTCCCTTTATTTCACTCTACTGCTAGTAAGTATCGAACTTCCGATTCCTGCTGTATACTGCTTATGTCTGTCCAACCATTGTATGGTATTGTACAGAGTGCTTGTGTTTCAGTGTGTTTTAACTGGACAATTTTTTTATAAAGAATCTACTTTTAGTATAGGGGGATTTGTGGAGATTGTAGAATTTTCATAGCTTAAGACACGAACTGATCTCAGTTGAACTAATATTAGAAACCTGGAAACACTGGACGGCTCACTCTCCCTAGTATTGGATTCATCATCAGTGCACATCTTCGACTCTACATTTGATGATCGAATCTAAGACGTTCTGTCTCGGTTGCGAACGCCAACCTAATGACTTCTGAGTTGACATCCAGCGGTGTAAATATCTAACTTCAATGAACTCAAGATTTTCCACAACCTTCTTACACACTACATGATAGAACTCCACTAGCCACAGCTTCTCACTAGAACTCTGAAGCCTGTCACTTGTGAGTAGATAATTATTATTAGTAGTAGTATAGAGGAAGTTCGTAGAGATTGTAGAATTTTCATAGTTTGAATCATCAATTCATCTACTGAGAAGTCCCATACTATGGCAAAACAGTCATTCAGTCCTTTCAGTTTTCCAGTCCTGATTTTGGCTAACATCCTTTCATGATTTAAACCATGCAATATATTTATTTTCATGTAAACGAATCACTAACAGTTTTTCAAAGAAAAATGATGATCACATTCATTTGATCTATTCTTCAGCTAAATATTTCTCAGACAAAAAACCCGATTATGTGTATGTGTACTCTTACCAAATTTGTTTATGTGAAAATAAAGATTAATGTGAACTAATAAACACTGTAGAACTTGAATGAAGTCACACACACACACATACTTTATTTCTTCCCATAATTTAAACACTTTTCCCATTCACATTAATCTTATAGAGAGAGTATAAGTTTTGTTTATGTTTGGAAAACAATTCAGTTAACGAATAACATAACACAATCATTACAATACTTTCCACTATCGAGAAGAGAAGTTCAATTTTGAAATGTGAAAGAGTGAAAGAGAACAAAAGCGTCTAAACACAGAGAGTATTTATGACGTAATCAATCATAAAATTCCCAATTAATTTTTCTTCTTCTACACCTTTTATCCAAATGTGATATTGTCTCAATTGATCATTATTTTCTCACAAATTTTACATGTTACCTTCTGATTTTCATTTTAGTTAATTGTTTATTCATGTGTTCTTTCTCTTTTCAATTTAATCATTTAAAGAATAATGAAATAACAACCATAAATATAGTTTAACATAGTTTATTGTATTGTATATAACTGTATATTCAATGTTATTTTCATGTTTCATTGTTAATTCCTCATTTTTACCAGGTCATACACCCATATGTTGTTTATATTTTCCCATCAGACAAAAATGGTAATGTTTATGTTTGTTTTTTTTTTTTTTAATTTTAAAAGTTTTTTTATGAATAGAATTATCCTAGTTGGAATGTGACGATTGGCATGGATTACCAATGGATTAGACTGACTACATTAGAAATGGATTAAATTGATAAAATTGGATACTATTTAACAATTATTATTATTAAATTTCTTTCAATAGTCTTCGAGAAAAAAGTTATTTGGGGACAAATAACTATTCACTTGATTCTGTTGATTCTACATGTTGTGAATTTCATTAGAACCATAGTTTCACCTTAGTTAAACCGCCATTAAAAACTTGGAATTATTGGAAGGTCACTTCGTTGTAGTATGGAACTTCCCATTAATGACGATCTTCGACCCACAAGTTGCAATCGAATTTAGGATATTCGGTTTTGCGCAAAGACTTTTAACATGTAGACAACTGAACTGGCATTCGACGATGTTTATATTTAAGTTCAATCAGTTCATGAAATCCAACAGTCTCCATAATCACACGTTCTCGCAGTTAATTATTTACGTTTTCATTATTTTTACCTGTAAGCATGTAAGATAACATTTCAGCTAGTGAATGATCATTGAGAGTCAAACAGAGTAGTGGACTATCATGTTAACCTTGTCACCGATGTGATTGAGTTTTAATAATCTATATTTTTGGATCATTATAATTCATAACTGACATTATTTTCATCATTGATTAAATTCGGAAATTCACTTCAGTTTACATGTAAAATCATGATTTTTTATTTCGTTTCATGATGAATCGTCAA